AAGGCAAAACCAAAAAAAAAAAAATACCAACAACAAACAAAACAAAAAGAAAGAGACAAAGACATTTTTAGGGTGGAAGATGAGACCTGGAGGCAGAGGTGGAGGCTGGGGGTGGGAGAGTAGAGAACTCTAGTGCCGAGATGGGGAGGGGGAGGGGAGCAGAGCAGCAGCAAACCCCAACCAAGAAGCAACGGAGACCCCTGGGCCCCCAGAACGCCCCAGCCCAGTCTGACCCCAACCCATGTAAGTGCTTAAAGGAGAAAGAACAACACCCAAACAGAGGAGGGAAAAGGGATTGAAGACTGACAATCCCAGGCTGGCTCTGGGCAGGGAAGAAATAACTTGGGGTTTTGTTTGATTTTCCCTGTTCTTAAAAAACATGTTTAAAGGAAAAAATGCTTTTTGGCAGAGAGAGGCAGGCACCTCCGTGTCAGCTTCCCCCAGCCCCCGGGGCCGAGGCCCAGCCCTGGGGTCCCGATGCTCCCACACGCTCTGAGCCATCCCAGCCCTGGGACCTCGGGTTGAGTGGCTTCGTTCAAAGGTTGATTTACAGTATTGAAAAAGAGGTCATAAAAGAGACCCAAATAACATCGTAATTTTGTAAAAATTTCTCACTCATTCACCCTCATCTCTCCCTGTGGCTGCCCCGGCTCCCTCGAGCCCCCAGAAGGGAGAGGAGGGCTGGGGGGGGTAGTCAGGGAAGCTCCCCGTCCCCTGACGGTTCCTCCCGGCTCTGGTCCATGGCTTCACTGTCTGAGGCCTCGGAGTCGGAGGCCGTGTCAGAGGTGGGGGCCTCCGGGCAGCTTCGGACCGGCTTCACGATGACAGCTCGCCTCTGCTCCTCCTCCAACTCCTGCTTTTCCTGGGTGCCCTCGATGTGCTGGATTGCCTGGACAGGGACGAACCAATGAGGAGGCTCGGCCGGGGACACACAGCCAGCCAGGAGGCAGTGGGGGCCCTCAGCCAGCCACTGTCTCCCCCAGAACACACATCCCAGAAATAAGCCTTGCAAAGCAGCAGGGGAGGCCCCCCAGACTCTATGAAAAACAAACTCTTTTTCCTTTTTTTTGGAGAGATCTCACTATATCACCCAGGGAAGAGTGCAGTGCGCACGATCATAGCTCACTGCAGCCTCAGATTCCTGGGCTCAAGCGATCCTCCTACCTCTGCCTCCCTAATAGCTGGAACCACAGGAGTGCACCACCATCCCCAGCTAACTTTTGTATTGTTAGTAGAGACGAGGGGGTTCTTGCTATGTTTTCCAAGCTGACCTCAAGCTCCTGACCTCAGGCAATCTTCCTGCCGCAACCTCTCAAAGTGCTGGGATTACAGGCGTAAGCCACCATGCCCAGCCCAGGAACAGACTTTCAAAACTCTTCTGTTAAATTGAAACATCCATTCTGGGAAGCAACAATCCCAGTGCTGCTTAGAAATTATATGTTTCTTTCATATGTTTATGTTTGTTGTGTTTTTTGGAGACAGAGTCTCACTGTGTCACCCAGGCTGGAGTGCAGTGCTTCGATCTCAGCTCACTGCAACTTCCGCCTCCCAGGTCCAAGCGATTTTCCTGCCTCAGCCTCCCGAATAGCTGGGATTACAGGTGTGCACCACCATGCCCGGCTAATTTTCCTATTTTTGGTAGAGACAGGGTTTCATCCTGTTGGCAAGATGGTCTCGAACCCCTGACCTCAAGTGATCTGCCCACCTGGCCTCCCAAAGTGTTGGGATTCCAGGTGTGAGCCTCCCTGGAATATGTTTGTATATTTTAAAGCTTGCCTACTAATTTATTAAAGGCCTTTGTTATTAATTGCATTATGCAATTTGCAAGGTTTATGAGCAACTGAAATTCAGGGAGATTGATGGATTTTTTTTTTCCTGTCTTGCTTTTTTGGTTGGGTTATTTATTTACTTATTACTGATTTCTGAGGTTGGGTCCCTCAAGGGGCCTTATTCAAGGCTGAGTGCAACTATATACCCTCAGGCTTGAGCCACAGAGTTCCTCCTCCGTAGGAGGCCCAACTGTCACCCACAGCCCTGACCCCTGTATCCCCATCCAGGTCCTCAGGGATGGAGGTGAGACAATGCTTCGGAAAACCCAGACTGTGGGAAAGGACCGTCTTCCCGGCCCACCCCTCCTGACAGGTAGGCCCTGGCCAGGTCTCTGGCCCTCATATTCTCCACTTGCAGATCCAGGGAGGGAGCCCCAAGGCTTCCAGCCTTCCACCCCCTCCCACCCAAGCACTATCTTCCTCCTCTACCACTCCTCATTTTCTAGTCTAAAGAAGAGAAAGAGCCTGTTCCCAGTGTATGACCCCTACAAGCTGCCCCTTTCCTGAGCCCAGGTACCTGCACGATGGTGTCCAGATTTTGCCGGGATGTGGAAACAGAGTTGATGACTGAGGAGGGGCCCATGGTGACAACGTTGATGTGGTGGGAGGGAGGGGGAGGCGGTGCCGGCACGATCACTGTGGGGTGGTGGGTGGGGGCAGGAGGGGGCAGGAGCTGCAAGACAGAAGCCCTCAGCCTTTCTCTCAAGCCTTCTCCCGGCCCATCCACCTCCCTTATTCATGCAGGGCCAGCCAGTGTATAACTCCCCAGCCCCATTTATGTTACGAAACAGAGATGAGACGGACTACAGAGAGGCTTCCAGCCATCCAACATCCCCTGCCCACTCCCCAATCCCCAGAGCCTGCTTCCAGGCACCTCCTGCTCACCTGGGTCCGCAGGTGCTGCTGTTCCCGCTCCAGCTTCTCCTGGTGCAACAGCCTCACCTGTTCCTGCTGCTGCTGCAGCTGCACCTGCTGCGCAATCACCTTGAGCTTTTCTGGGTACATGTGGGCCTCCAGCGAGCGCACCTGGAGGCAGGACAGCCTCGGCTCAGGGGCAGGCCTGGGAGCACACCCTGCCCTGTCAGTCCCACAGCAGGTCATTCACTCCTGCTGAAAACCCTACCACCAGGCGGGCCCCCCTCAACAGAGGCCAGAGCATTTCCAAAGACCTTCAGCCCCTGCCTCATCTCACCTCCCACCTGAGCCTCCACTGTACCACTGGACCATGCTCCCTCCTGTCTGAGCCTCTGCCTATGCTGTTCCCTCTGCCGAGAACACCCTTTTCTGCCCTTTGGTTAATTATGAGACTCAACTTCCCACTTCCATTGAGACACTATGGGGCATCCCCACAGCTCCAGCCTGGCCTTCATCATGGTTAAGTGCTTTGTTTTTGGTTTTTGTTTTGAGACAGGGTCTCCCTCTGTCACCTAAGCTGGAGTGCAGTGGCACAATCACAGCTGACTGCAGCCTCCACCTCCTGGGCTTAAGCCATCCTCCCAGCTCAGCCTCCCAAGTAGCTGGGACCACTGATATGCACTACCACACCTAGCTTTTTGAGACAGGTGTCACTCTGTCACCCAGGCTGGAGTGCCATTGTGCGATCACCGCTCACTGCAGTCTCCACCTTCTGGGCTCAAGCAGTCCTCCCAGCTCAACCTCCTGAGCAGCTAGAACCACAGGCACACCCCACCACACCTGCCTAATTTTCATATATTTTTTGGTGAAGATAGGATCTCATTACGCTTCCCAGACTGGTCTCAAACACCTGGGCTCAAGTGATCCTCCCGCCTCAGCCCCACAAAGTGCTGGGATTACAGGTGTGAGCCACCATACCTAGCCCATTAGGGCTACATTTTTGAGGTCATTTGACTAATCTTCCCCACCGCAACGCAAACGGTGACCCCCGAGGGCAGGGACATGTCTGGCTTGCTCCCCACTCCTAAGCCTGGCACCGCAGCAGGTGCTCCTGTAAATAGGGCTCAACCAAGGGCAGGAAAGCCTTAAGGGGGACCCCAGGCTCCGCTCCGCTGCACCACGCGCCGCGCCCAGCAGAGGGCGCTGCCTCACCTGCTCCTCCAGCATCATGCGCACCGAGCGTTCCTTGTCCAGCTGCTGCCGAAGCTCAATCATCTCCCGCCGCAAGTCCTCCGCCTTTTCGTCCTCCCAGATGTCCGGAGAGCCGATGCCTTCGTCCTTGTCCTCTGCCCGCCGTCGCTTGGGGGACGAGCCGCTCAGCTCCTGGGGACCCCAAGGAGTCGGTCAGTGTGCCTGACACCTCGGTACCACCACCACGGAGACTGGGGCTCCATCGCAGCCCCCTAAAGCTGCCCAACACAGGTGGATCTTCATTAGGGAGCCCTTCTGCAAGTCCAACAAACCAGCCAAATGCCAGGAGAATGGCTGCTGTCCAGAGCAATCACCTGGCTCATTCCAGAGCCCACTCCACTGCACTAGACTGATGGGGAAACTGAGGCTCGGGCAGGAAAACAAGTGCCTGAAGTACTTGCCAGTGGGCAAGAAGGGGCCTGCAGCCACACCTGCATCGCAGGCCCACGGCTGGGTCCTGGGATGCCCATGCCAAGAGAGGGAGCCAGGAAGGAGGGCAGGGCGCACCTGGATGAAGCGCTTGAGCTGTGTATTCTGCTGCAAGAGCCTGGTCTTCTCCTGCTCCAGGGAGAAGATGTACTCGGCTGTCTGCTGGAGAATGGCTGCCTGAAGGCAGGGAAAAGCCAAGAGTCAAGCTGGCAATGTTTACCAGAGCTCACTTTCCTCTCCCAGAGGGAGTCTGCCGCCTCCTCCAGGAAGCCCTCCCTGCTCTCACCCACCTTGCTGAGCTTCTCTCCGTCTGTGTGGGGGATGAGGGTCTTGAGAGACTGAAAGCCCGCGTTGATGCTCTGCATGCGCCTCCGCTCGTTGCTGTTGGCGATCTCCCGTCGAATCCGCCGCTCCTGGTCCCGCTGAGTCTCTGGGGTCAGTGGAATGTTGGCAAGGCTGCCAGAGAGGACAGGAACAGGCTTGGCCAAAGCGCCCTCTTCATCATTCATCTCCAGAGGGCCCCAGTGGAACCTGCATCCCGCCCCTGCTGCAAAAGATGCCAGGCCACCCCCAGAGGGCGATGGAGGGGCTCTCTCTGGGACACCCAGATGGACTGAGGGTAAGATAGTCTGCTCAGAGCCCAGCAAGGGCCAGGCACAGTGGCTCACACTTGTAATCCCAGTTATTTGTGAGGTCAAGGCCAAGGATCATTGAACCCAAGAGTTTGAGATCAGTCTAGGCAACCTGTCTCTACAAAAAATAAAATTAGCCAGGTATGGTGGTGCACGCCTGTAGTTCCAGCTACTCAGGAGGCTGAAGGGGGAGGGCTGCTTGAGCCCACAGGTGGAGGCTGCAGGGAGCTATGATGGAGCCAGTGCACTTCTGGGCAACAGAGCAAGACCTTGTCTCAACAACAGCAAAAACCCATCCCCTCCTTGGCTTCCCTCACAGGGAGCAGTTTCTCCTCCCCAACGGAATTCCCAGTGTGTCTGAGCATCAAAACACCTAGGAGCTTAGAAACTGTGCAGACGACGGGTGCTGGCCCCAGTGTCTGACTAGCAGGCCTGGTGGGACCCAGAAACCTGCATGGTGATTCTCATGCACGTGGGACGCCGACAACAGTCAGGGACGCTGTCCCGCTCCTGGGAGACTTCTGAGTGACCTGCTGGGCGCCTGGAGCGCCTCTTCAGCGTCTCAGGCTTTGAATCTCAGGAATGAGGAAGACGTCCCCACTCCCTTCCTACCCTCACGGCCACGCCTCCAGCTACAAGCCCCAGCCCCAGTATGCTGAGACTTCACACACCTCACACAGGACAAGACAGATACGACTCACTCCCCATAAAGACACGAAGCCAGCAACCCCTGCAGACAGTGCTCCCCTCAGCCCACCCACGCCAACAGACCCACCCTGTGCCGGAGAAGCAAGGCTCCCAGCATGCCGTGGGGAGCACTACTAACCCTTGCAGGAGCAGCGGCCAGTGGAGTGAGAAGGCAGCCCTGGGGAAGAGGGCGTGGCTGCTGAGTGGGGCGGGGCTTCCGGCGGGGGCGGGGCGTGTGCGTCAGGGGGCGGGGCTGCGGGCCAGGGAGCAGAGGCAGCGGTTGTGGGCCCAAGGCCACGCTCCCGAGGGTTGGGCCTGTGTGTGGCCTGGAGGAGGCATGTCTCCCTCCCTGGACCTCCCCTGCAACTTCCCCCGCCCCTGGCCTGATGGTTTCCAGATGCTGGGCTCCCAGCAGAGGCCGCCGGCCCCACCCGAAGCCGCAGCCCCGGCTTCTTCCTGAGGGGCCCTCCCGGGGTGCCCTGTTCCAGGACTGGGCCTAAGGGGCTCGCGCCCTTGAATCTGGGAGAACAGGGAAACGGCTCTGAGCAGCTCTTGCTCCATTGGCGGGGACAGTCTGGGGTCAAGGGGCTGCCAAGTCTAACTCCCCTGCTGTGGCCCCTACGCCAATGGGTAGGTGGAAAAGAGTTTGCATGGACCCAAGAGAAAGCACATCTCCAACAGCTGGAAACAGCCGTGGCCTTCCTGGCCCCATCCATCCTGCCCCATCTGTCCAGCCTTGGCTCCCTGTGGGACCCTGGACGTATCCCCGCCCTTTCCTCGGCCTGGGCTTCCTCTCCCAACAGAGAGGTGGGCGACAAGTCTTCCGGCCTCATCAAGCCAAGCCTCTCCTCCATCAGGATCCTAAGTCCCACAGCCTGTCCTCAGGTTGTAAATCGCTCACAAGGCCTTGAAATGTCAGTGCGGCAAAGGGGGCCCAGGCCCCCCACTTTCCATGGGAGACTTTAGGATTCAGAGCAGGGAGGGGCATGGTTTTAGGCTCAGTCAGCTGGATGTCAGTGCCCTCACTTCTCCCACTTCCCCTGCCTGCAGTGGGGGTGACCGGGGCACTAGGGCAGGCCTGCTGCACAGCTGTGTGTGGCCCATCTTTGGGGTGGAGTCCAGGCTCCCAGGTCTGGCACAGCCTCAGACTACACCATCTCTGAGAGGCCAGCAGGCCAAGGGGACTAGGACTGCTCTGCAGTGGTGGCTTAAAGCTGGGGCTCTTTGCAGGTAAGAAGTGGGAAGAGATCTCCATAGGAAGCCACAACACAGGGTAAGTGCAATCTGGGGGCATCACCATTCCCACAGGAGAGATGTGGGGAGAGCCCCCTGCTCACCAGCCCCTGGGCCCCTCCCGGCAATGTCCAAAGGTCAGAGCTGACCAGGGCCTGGGGGTGAAAAGTGAGCACTAAGTCCAGCCTTGGGCCACCTGAGAGCTGGCCCTCCTAGAGGGTCCACAACAGAGGAACACATCTTTTTTTTTAAGTTTTTGGCTAGGGCCGGGCACGGTGGCTCACGCCTGTAATCCCAGCACTTTGGGAGGCCGAGGCGGGTGGATCACGAGGTCAAGAGATCGAGACCATCCTGGTCAACATGGTGAAACCCCGTCTCTACTAAAAATACAAAACATTAGCTAGGCATGGTGGCACATGCCTGTAATCCCAGCTACTCAGGAGGCTGAGGCAGGAGAATTGCCTGAACCCAGGAGGCGGAGGTTGCGGTGAGCCGAGATCGCGCCATTGCACTCCAGCCTGGGTAACAAGAGCGAAAGTCTATCTCAAAAAAAAAAAAAAAAAGTTTTTGGCTAGAATATTCTCACTGAATTGTCACAATCTCCCTGAGTCAGATGGCCTGAAGACTTCTGTGTAAAGAGGGGGCACAGAGGCTTGGGTGGGGATCAGCTGCAGCAAGTGCTGGGACTTGAACCCTGACCCCAGGGCAGGCGTCCAGCCATAGAGCAGAATGAGCGCTGACCATCCCACAGAGCCAGATGCCCCAACCAGCAGATGACAGTTATCCCTGTAAAAGAGAGGACGAGGCCGGGCATGGTGGCTCACACCTATAATCCTAGCACTTTGGGAGGCCAAGGCAGAAGGATCCCTTGAGCTCTAGAGTTCAAGACCAGCCTGGGCAACATAGTGAGACCCCATTACCACAAAAAAAAATAAGAAATCATCTAGGCATGGTGGCATGTGCCTATTGTTCCAGCTACTCAGGAGGCTAAGGTGGGAGGATGGAATGAACACAGGAGGTTGAGGCTGTCGTGAGCTGTGATCATGTCACTGCACTCCAGCCTAGGTAACAGAGTGAGACCTTGTAAAAAAAAAAAAAAAAAAAAAAAGGACCAGGCATTCAGAAAGCACTGTAATCATGTAACTCTTTTTATTATTCACAGACCTCATTTACATTTTTCCCTGCCTGATTCTCACGGAAACCCAGTGTGGTGGCTGACATTACAGTGAGCAAGCAGTGCAGGGTCCTGGAAGGGGAGGTGATACTCCCAAGGTCAGGCAGCCAGACCTGGCACAGCAGGCACCTGTAGATGCCAAAGCTCCCCTGCCCCACCCACTGAAGTGCCTCTAGTGACTCCTACTTCACACAGCCCACCAATTACCAGAAGCAGGGGGTGTGACTGCAGGCTCAGCCATCACTCCTGCCCTTCTGAACACACACGGGACCAAGCCCACAAGTGACTTGTCCAAGGTCACACCCAGCAGTAGGGCAGGGCAAGGTGTGAAAAAATGCACCCTCCTGCACCTTCCAGCCCAAGTCCCACCAACAACTCTGCTCTTAGGAGCTGACCCTCAGCCTCTTCTTTCCCTTCCCCACAAGGCAGCCCACTAACTGGGGAGGTCAAAGGAGACCCAGTCCCGAAAATCCCAGCCGGACGTTCCACAGGAAGAGGCGCTGGGGCTGGGATCAGGGGCCTGTGTCGCCTCCTCCTCTGCACTAGAATCTGCCAGCACAGCTTCTCCTGCCTCCGTCCTCTCCAAAGCCACCAGCCCAGTCTCCTGGCTCAGAAAACAGCTGCAGGCTAACCTAGTGCTTAGGTTAAGCACTTTCTTAAATCCGATAAAGCAAATTTCCCCCCAAAGCTACAGTTCCTCGTGGGGACCTGAATCTGCCACCAAGACCCTCAATTAATAACTCACCTAAATTGCCCTGGAAGTACCAGCCGACAGAGACCTTTAATAGAATGCGTGCCAACCAGGGCTTCTGATTGGTGGAATAGGAGCTAACCAAGGGCTGTGATTGGTAGAGTGCCGGCTAACCAGGAATTCTTATTGGTGGAATGCTGACCAACCCGGGCTTCCGATGGCTGACCACCTAGGGGTTCCTGTTGATGAAGGTTGGTTAATTGAAATTTCCAGGTGATATTGCACGGGATAAAGTGGATTTTTCTGCAAATGCCTGAAAATTTCTGATAGCTCTTTCGGGGTTTTGCATTTACAGTTACGGTCTGTAAAGGTCCTACACACACAGTAAATAAAGATCCACTACCCTCTCCCTGGCCACTTCAGACTCCTATAGGTGAGAATCAAAGGTGGCAGAAGTCCATTGACCCCGAGGTTCTCTTTTTTTTTTTTTTTGAGACTGAGTCTCGCTCTATTGCCCAGGCTAGAGTCCAGTGGCGCAATCTTGGCTCACTGCAACCTCCACCTCCCGGGTTCAAGCAATTCTTATGCCTCAGCCTCCTGAGTAGCTGGGATTACAGGCGTGCGCCACCACAACTGGCAAATTTTATATATATATATATATATATATATATATATATATATATATATATATATATATATATATTTTTTTTTTTTTTTAAAAGACAAAGTCTCCCTCTGTTCCCAGGCTGGAGTCCAGTGGTGCAATCTCAGCTCACTGCAATCTTGGCCTCTTGAGTTCAAGGGATTCTCATGCGTCAGCCTCCCAAGTAGCTGGGATTACAGGTACCCGCCACCAGGCCCAGCTAATTTTTGTATTTTTAGTAGAGACAGGGTTTCACCATGTTGGCCAGGCTGGTCTCTAACTCCTGACCTCAAATGATCCACCCACCTTGGCCTCCCAAAGTGCTGGAATTATAGGCATGAGCCACTGTGCCTGGCCACACCGAGGCTCTCTTAATTCTGGCAAGCCAGCCTCCTGTAGCCAACCTGGGGCTGCCCCAGACTCAGGAATAAGGCAGGTCACTGAGCAGCCAATGGCCAAGGAACAAAATCTGGGCACCAGCCTTGGATGCTAAGGCCACAGCCGCCACCCCTACCACCACAGCACCCACAACATCTAACAAGACTGACACTGGCATCCCAACCAGACACTCGGGGGCATGGGCATGCCCGTCAAGTCTAGATCTGTGCCAGGTACTTATCCCTCCTGCCCAGCCCAAGGCCAAGTACCCCCAGTCCCTCTGCACTTGCCTGCCCATTTCCAGCCTCAAACTGGCCACTGAGAACTTTCATTTCACACTGCCCTGAAGTAACTCACACACCTCAGAGTCACTTAATATCGACACAGTCAATGTGGATAATCCACATGGGATTCTCCCAAACCCAAAAAAGGAGTAAGACACTCATCCTTCTCTCACCTAATGAGCTGGAGGTTCTCGTCCATGCTCCATCCCCACTGCTGCAACACTACCCATCCATACTCTGCGCTCTAACCTGGCCAGTCTGATGCCATTCCCCTCGGTCCCAGAACACACCATGCCCAGGCTGTTCCCATCAGAAACATCCCAGCCTCCCTCCCTTCCCAAAGTTCCTCCAGCCCATCAGTGAGAATCCTGCACTGGGCTCAAGTGCAAAAGGTCCAGCCTTGCCACTTACTAGCTGTGGAACACCAAGCCCCACTTTCCCCCATCTGTAAAATATGAAACACTGCTTCATGTCACAAGGTCATGGTGAAGTTTAAAAGAGATCAAGAAAGGCCAAGAGTGGTGGCTTATGCCTGTAATCCCAGCTACTCAGGAAGCTGAGGCAGGAGAACTGCTTGAATGCAGGAGGCAGAGGTTGCCATGCACCAAGATCACACCACTGCACTCCAGCCTGTGCTAGAGTGAGACTCTGTCTCAAAAAAAAAACAAAAAAAAAAAAACAAGGCTGGGCGCGGTCGCTCACACCTATAATCCCAGCACTTTGGGAGGCTGAGGTGGGTGGATCACGAGGTGAAGAGATCGAGACCATCCTGGTCAACATGGTGAAACCCCGTCTCTACTAAAAATACAAAAATTAGCTGGGCATGGTGGCGCACACCTGTAGTCCCAGGAGGCTGAGGTGGGAGAATTGCCTGAACCCAGGAGGCGGAGGTTGCGGTGAGCTGAGATCGTGCAATTGTGCTCCAGCATGGGTAACAAGAGCGAAACTCCGTCTCAAAAAAAAAAAAAACAACAAGATGCGGATGGAGACCACCATATACCTGCTTTTAAGACTCTGAATGTCAGCAGCCTGGTGCAGTGGCTCACATCTGTAATCCTAGCACTTTGGGAGGCCAAGGTAGGTGGATCACCTGAGGTCAGGGATTCAAGACCAGCCTGGCCAGCCACCATGGTGAAACCCTGTCTCTACTAAAAATACAAAAATTGGCCAGGTGTGGTGGCATATGCCTGTAATCCCAGCTATTTGAGAGGCTGAGGCAGGAAAGTGACTTGAACTCAGGACGGGGAGGTTGCAGTGAGCCAAGACAGCACCACTATACACCATTCTGGGTGACAGAGTGAGACTCCATCACAAAAAAAAAAAAAAAGACATTTCAGTCTTTTTTTTTTTGAGATGGAGTCTCGTATTACTGCCCAGGCTAGAGTGTAGTGGCGCCATCTCAGCTCCCTGCAACCTCCACCTCCCGGGTTCAAGCGATTCTCCTGACTAAGCCTCCAGAGTAGCTGGGATTACAGGCATGTACTACCATCCCAGCTTAATTTCTGTATTTTCAGTAGAGACAGGCTTTCACCATATTGGTCAGGTTGGTCTTAAACTCCGGACCTCATGATCTGCCCGCCTCGGCCTGCCAAAGTGCTGGGATTACAGACGTGAGCCATCACGCCCAGTCCTGAGTGTCATTTTAAAAGCTACCAGGCACTTCCCATACCTATGGCTAATTTTCACAGGTGCATCTGTTTTCCAGGGCCTGAGAACCGTTAGGCGACGGGTCCAAACCTGCAGCTTTCGTGGGCAGCACTGTGCCCTACAGTACCCTCCGGTAGGCCTGGGAGACAGAAAGACAGGAAGATCTCTGCTGGTCACTGAGGCATGAAGCAAAGCCCACCAGCTTGACATGACCCAGAGAAGCAAAAACATCTGGCCAGAAGGTCCTGCCTGACATACACATTTGATCCCCAACAGGCTTCCTATCTTACCCTACTGAACATAAACAAATCCAGGCACCCCCAACTCCATGCCTAATGCACAGCTCACAATTGTCTTGCAATGGATGTCTCAGTGCCCTACCCTGGACGAAGGCCCTGCACCCTCAAGCCCTTGGCTTATCAAGATCCAGCTATCCTGGGGGACTGCTGGCATCCTCCAAAGCGGGTCTTGGGGCAGGGATAAAGTGAAGCCAAATCTTAGGGGTCCCTAGGAGGACTCACCTAAGGCCCAGGCATGGCAGCCAGAGGGCCCCTCTGCCCTCACCCTGCCCAGGATCAGGCCCAGAATGTCCTCCCCAGCAGGCAAAGTGGCTCAACCATACCTCCACACTGCCCAGCCCAGCCCTACAGCAGCCTGCAACCCCAGGACCAGGGTTGAAGTTCCAGCTCCACCACTTGCTGTGGTGGTCCCCTCCCTAGTTTCTCTGTTCTCCTCTTTACACGGAATCAAAAGACGCTTTTGACTCATAGAAAGATTATGACAACTCAATGAGAAAATTCTAGCAAACTGAGCCCCCAGAACATAAAAAGTGCTCAAGAATATTTTTTTAGTTATTATTGGGCCCTCCAGGTGGGCCTCGTGTAAGGGCCAGCCCTTGGGGCATCCCTGCGCTGCCAGACCCATCAACTGGTCCAAGTCTAGGTATTGACTGGGACCTTCAGAGTAGCTTTAAGATGGGGACCCTTGGGGCAGAGGGTTGGGTGGGAGTGTCTACACGTGTACAGCAACCTTCCCTCCAGGCCGGATTCTGCACCCGCTAGTGTCCACCAGCCTGGGCCACACCGGCGGGCTCCTCCTCCCTCAATCCCCGCCCAGACTGCCTTGGGCGGCAGAGCACGTGGCTCCAGCCCTGGGGAGCCATTTCGCTCCTGGAGCAGCGCGGCAGGAAAGGGGCCGCAGGTCCCAAACTTGTGCACGCCGAAGAACGCACACCTCCCCAACACCCCGCCCGGCGGGTTGTTCAAAATGCAGATGTCCGGGCCCCAGCGACCAGAGCTCCAGGAGTGTGCATTTTAACAAGTGTCCCGGGCGGTTTGGCTGTGTGTGGTCCTTGAATCCATCACCCTTTGGATTTACAGCAACCTAGGACCAAGCTTGCAAAGTGGCTGCTGCGGAGGCCTGCGAACCTCGGGCCACCCACCCAGCTGGGGGACCCGACGCTTTCGGTTTACGGCAGGGGGGAGGGGCGTTGGATGGGAAAGTTTGCAGAGGAAACCCACGTGCGGCGGTAAGCTGCCCTGCGAGACTAGAGGCGGCCTCAGGTGTCCCCTCCCCAAAAGGCCTGCCCACCTGGCCTGCATTGCCCATTGTGCCCGCGGGGGCCGAGCTTTGTGCAGGGAAAGCGTGGCCCACGAGCGCCTACAAATCCCACAATGCTGCACCCGCAGGACACGGAGAACTACAGCTCCCGCGAGGCCGCGCGCAGAGGTCCGCCTACTCCAAGAGGGCTGCAGAGTCACGTCCAGGCCTCGCTAGTAAACAGCGCCCGGGCGCGGGCGGGCGAGCCAGCAGCAGCCAACGTGCCCCGGGCCGCGGCGCCCCTGCCGGCCGCGCGGGCCCCTCGGGGCCCGCCCACCCCCCACACCCATACGCAAGCACGCCCCCGACCCCACTGCAGCCCCGCTCTGCAAACACGCACAGTGCCCGGCTCCCCGCCCCCACCCAGCGCCGGGAGCCGCGGCATGGCTGCATTGTAGCCGCCCTCGCTACGGCCCCACGCGCGCCCCGGACCCTCGGACCCCCTTGAATGGGGGCGCCCTAAGATCGCAAGGAAGGAAGGAGAGGAAGGAAGCCGCCGCGGGAGGGGGAAAGAGGAAGCGCGGCGGGGGGGAAGGCCACCAGCACCAAGCATGGCCGGGACTGCTGCAGAACCACGTGGGTCTGTTTGCAATTTACAAACGTCGCGACTCGCCCGCCTGCAGCGGACAAAAGTGGCCGGGGCCGTTCGGGGCCCCCATGCTCCAAGGGAGGAGGGTCCCGGGGCGGCGCGGACCCGGTGCGCGAGGCTGCAGCGGTCCCAGCAGCTAAGAAAGGCTAGCGGGGTCGGCGGCGCGGGCCATGCGTGCGCACACGCGCGCCCGCCCGGGCGGGCTGGCCGGGGGCTGCAATGGTAGGAAGGGGGTGGGGGGAGGAGGAGTACACACCTACAGAGCCCTCCTATCACTTCTTTCTCTGTTTTCCTGAAATGTTGCAAAGAGGGCACCTTCTGAGTGGGCACCATGAAATACTCCATAGCGATCGGCCCCCCTCCTCTGCACGAGCCAGGTCCCGCGATCAGCCGGAGAATGCAAGATGGAAATCCGAATCAAAGGGCAGCGCCGGACGGAGGTGCAGAATCGGCCGGTCCCAGATGCTGGCGGCGGCGGCGGCGGCGGCGAGGGGAGGGAGGCGGGCGGGAGGGGCGGGAGGGAGGTCTCTCCGGCCTGCCTCCCCGGGCGTGTGTGTGTGTGTGTGTGTGTGTGTGTGTGTGTGTTTGCAGCTGATCAGATGTCTGTTTCAAGGCGGGAAACAGCTGGTGAAAACTCAGCACTCCCCCGGCCTCCTTCCGCGGAGTAAGGAATTGCATGTAAACAAAGGACTATTTGCAGCGCCCCCCAGGCGGCGCGAGGCCGGGGCGAGAGGGGCGCGGTCCCCCGGGGGCCCGCTGCAGCCAGGGTCTGCAGGCCTCTCGCAGGGCACAGGGGGCCGGGGACCGCGGGCCGGCTGGGGGTGGCGCAGCGTGAATGGAGCGAGCTGCGGCCGAGCTACATGCGCCACTATGGGGTGATGAGGTCCATCAGCTGACAGGTTGGCAAGCGTTTCAAAAAAAAAAAAAAAAAAGAAGGCCAGCCACCGCGCGGGGAGCCCAGCCCGTGCAGTCCCGGGTCCAGCGGGGACTGCCCAGTGCAGGGTCCGCGCACTCGGCGGGCCCGCGGGAAGAAGGGGGCGCGGCCGGGTCGGTCGTGCAGCTGCTACGGGAAAGGCGGCCTGAGGTTCGCGCTCGGAGCTTCTGCTTTTTCACCATTGCAACTGCACACAGAGGAGCCTCTCCGGTGTGCGCCCTTCGAGCTGAGCCCAGGGCCCCCTGGAAACTTGCGTCACAGCCACCGCTTCCCACATGTAACTTGGGGCTGACTTCGGAGGCCGGCCAGCCTCCTCCCTCCCACCCTGCCTAGCTGCCAGCCGCTGGCCGCGCGGCCGGGGCTCCGAATCCTGGGAATCCTGGCCCAGCGAGGGGACGGCAAAGGGCGCCAAGGATGCTGGGGCCGCCCTAGGAAGCCGGGGGCCCGGGCGGGGAGGGGAAGGTGGAGGCGGGCCCGAATGGCTGCGTCCCCTGGACTCAAGGCTGCCAGCACGGCCGGGAGGTCTGCTAGTTGCTCCCGGGTCGCCTGGTATTCCCCAGACCCCCACTGTTCCCTCCGCGGGCTGAAGGCTGCAGCTTCTCATTCATGACAAAGCCCGTGCGGGACTTGCCCCTCCGCCAGGGTGCGATCCCCTCGAGAGGGTGACGACGTGGGGCGGGGACGGGGACCCTGGCGGTGAGCTTCCAGTCCTCCGCTCCCACGCCCCACCTTCCGACCCCAGGCCCTCCCTGGCTCCTGGAGGTTTGGCTTCTGGCTCAGGAAGCCCACGCCTGCCTTGGAATGTCCTGGATCCTGCCTACCGCCTTCCAGGTTCCCCCTAAATCGCGCCTCCTAATTTGACGTATTCCTACTACTAACAATAGTTACTGTTATTATTGGGAAATATTGTTATTAAATGTTGCCAGCATCCGCTGGATGCCGAGCAGTTTTGCATACATGCGCTCTGATCCTTAAAGCAACCTGTTAGGCAGTTTCTCTAAGTACAGATCCCAGGCTGACAAAAAAAGCCCCTGAAGTCTTACTTTATTTTTATTTATCTTTTTTAAATACGCCAGGCGCGGTGGCTCATGCCTGTAATCCCAGCACTTTGGGAGGCCCAGGCGGGTGGATCACCTGAGGTCAGCAGTTCGAGACCACCCTGGCCAACGTGGAGAAACCCCGTTTCTATTTAAAAAAAAAAAAAAGTCGGGCTCGGTGGCTCAAGCCTGTAATCCCAGCACTTTGGGAGGCCGAGGCGGGTGGATCACGAGGTCAAGAGATCGAGACCATCCTGGTCAACATGGTGAAACCCCGTCTCTACTAAAAATACA